TGAGTCCTCTATTGCACTGAAATCAGACCACATGTTGTGGGCACATGACCTGTTTGTTTAACTGTTCACATATTGTTGACTACTTCTGCATTTACATTTAACTAGCATTGTTTAGTTTAGCTAAAGTCTTATGTCATATATTCATAAATTAATTAGGTTTAGCTGGAACTTCGTTGGCTAAAGAAGATAGCAAGCTCCAACCACTTCCTGAACTATTTCCATTGTCAGACTCAGAATGTACAGGATCCAATCTTAGTATAACAGTTGTTGGAGCTTCTGGAGACCTTGCCAAAAAGAAGATTTTTCCAGCACTCTTTGCACTCTTTTATGAAGATTGGCTACCTGAGGTCGGACTGGTTATATAGTGTTTAGTTTCAATTGGTAGTGATACTTAAACGTTTGGGAACTGAGATATCTTAGATGATTTAAATATTTTGGAACATTGTGTTTGAGTCTGTCTGGTTGTAATCTTTATGCAGAATTTTATTGTTTTTGGATTTGCTCGAACTAAAATGACCGATGAAGAATTAAGGAACATGATTAGCAAAACCTTAACATGCAGAATTGACAAAAGGTAAATTTCATTACAGCAATTCTATTTGGTATGTAAGGTTTAAAAAGTAGCTGGATAACAGGTAATTGATTAAATGCAATGAACTTTTTCTTTTCACTTTTAGCATTCTTAGGTCTATATCACCACAACACATTTATACAATTTAACTTTTATGTTATTGGGCTAAACCTTACCTTATACTTTTCCCCTACTTCCCTTCATTTTATGTATATTGATACTAGTCTAAACTTGCAGAGAAAATTGCGAAGACAAAATGGATCAGTTCTTAAAAAGATGCTTTTACCATTCTGGTCAATATAATTCTGAGGAGCACTTTTCAGAATTGGATATCAAGCTGAAAGAGAAAGAGGTAATATAATACTATCTGCCATATTGCCCTGCTACACTAAGCCCTGTACATACATACAACAGAAAATAAAAAAAATAAAACAATATTGAAGAACATTTTCCACCAGAAGTGAACACACTAAAACAAAAACACTGGTTGAATCATGTTATCAGATATTGTATGCTATTTGTTTCTCAAATTTAACATGAATGCTTCAAATTCCCGTGAACATGAATTTCTTCTACTAGGCTGTGACACGGTTACTTTCTAAGTAGTCCCTCCCTGCTTCACAAAAAGGAACTTCAGTTGCTTTTTCATAAAATTCAATATTCGTTCATAGCCGGAGAGCTAAGTTTAATAGGGTGCAAAAGGCTTTCGGTCAGGTGGTGATTTGAAAATTAAAACTGTAGTTCTACAAAAAAAAAAAGGTTCTAATATTTGTCATAAAATTTAAGGCATTTTATGTTTCTATAACTAAAATTCTATTGTGTCATGCAAAGAAGATCAAATTCTTCATGTTAGCTGCCTGCCTAATAGCTGATCTTCTAATTATACTGATATATTTGGCACTGGTCTTTTCTAGGGTGGAAAATTATCAAACAGATTGTTTTATTTGTCAATACCTCCAAACATATTTGTGGATGTGGTGAGATGCGCTAGCCAAAAAGCTTCTTCCAGAGATGGATGGACAAGGGTTATCGTTGAAAAGCCATTTGGTCGTGACTCGGAATCATCTAGTGAGCTAACAAAATGCTTGAAGCAGTACCTCACTGAAGACCAAATATTCAGGTGCACTTGGTTCTTTTTTCTTTTTAAACAAGCTAAAGTGAAAAGCATGGACTGATTGGAAATTCTTTAGGATTGACCATTACTTGGGTAAGGAGCTTGTGGAGAATCTATCAGTGCTTCGCTTTTCAAATCTTGTTTTTGAGCCTCTATGGTCCCGGAATTACATTCGCAATGTGCAGATCATATTTTCTGAAGATTTTGGAACTGAAGGAAGAGGAGGGTGAGAGTACTGAGTAATTTTGTCATATACTTGTCTTGATGGTATTGTATAGAATGATAACTCACACGACTAATTGATCTGGCTTTGTGCTTTTCTTTAGTTATTTTGATCACTACGGAATCATTAGGGATATAATGCAAAATCATCTTCTGCAAATACTAGCTTTGTTTGCAATGGAAACACCAGTCAGCTTAGCTGCTGAGGACATCAGAAATGAAAAGGTAATACATCTCTTTTTGTCTAGCAGAGTATACCTACATAACATCATTTTATTAATGTTTAAATTCGGTCCTCCTACATATCCTATAATCTTATGGAAAAATTTTCAACTAATATTATGATGTTCACAGTGATTACTGAGAATGGTTTTAACTCAGGTGAAGGTTCTGAGATCAATGAGACCACTGCAGCTTGAAAATGCTGTTGTTGGTCAATACAAGGGCCACAACAAGGGTGGAAAATCATATCCTGCTTATACGGATGATGCAACTGTTCCAAAGGGTAGTCTTACTCCAACATTTGCAGCAGCAGCTCTTTTTATAGACAATGCCAGATGGGATGGGGTTCCTTTTCTCATGAAAGCTGGCAAGGCTCTCCATACTAAACGGTATGCAAGTTTCTTCTATCTTCAGGTAAATTAGGCCATTCAATTTTCTCTGCACTGTTTGGAACTATTTCAAGAAAAAATTTAAATTTGTATCCAGTGCAGAAATCAGAGTACAATTCAGACACGTCCCAGGTAACTTGTACAAGAGGAATTTTGGAACTGATCTAGACAAGGCTACGAATGAGCTTGTGCTTCGTGTACAACCTGATGAAGCTATATATTTGAAAATCAACAATAAAGTGCCAGGTCTGGGAATGAGATTAGACAGAAGTGACTTGAATTTGCTTTTCCGAGCAAGGTGCGAGATCTTCTAGACATGTTCTGTGTAGAGTTGACTGATTTAAATTCAGTTGTCGAAGTTGTTGACTTAAATTGAGTGAGGGTTTTCCGCAGAACATAATGTTTCAACACTTGTTAATAATGTCTTTGCATTTCCTTGTTCATAATTATCCTTGGATATAACTACTGCTTGTGAAACATAGCTTACCAGTCTTAAAAAAAATTCATTTGCTAAGACTGGTTATTAATTGGAGGGAATACAAACGTATTTGATGTAGGCATTAATACGAAACTTTGATTTTCTGTGAAGGTATCCAAGTGAAATACCAGATGCATATGAGAGGTTACTCCTAGATGCCATTGAAGGAGAGCGAAGGCTGTTCATTAGAAGTGATGAGCTTGATGCAGCTTGGGCACTGTTCACTCCTTTGCTAAAAGAACTTGAAAACAAGAAGATTGCTCCAGAGCTCTACCCCTATGGTAGCAGAGGACCGGTTGGAGCACATTACCTTGCTGCAAGGCACAATGTTAGATGGGGAGATCTTGGTAATGAAGACTAATAAATGGCAGAGCTCTCCCATGATCAAGAACATTCATTATCAATACCTTTTCCATCACATTATAGGACAGCTACACAGCTTGTCTCACTGATTGAACTTATACAGTTGCATCAAGTTCATACAAAAACCAAGTTCTCCTAATGTAGTTTACGGAAAGACTCGGGTGTCAAATCCAAAGAGATGGGATGAAATTTTAAATGAATTGTTTGTATAGATTCAGTCCTAAAAAATAGAAGCAAAGATGGGGGAATGATAAAATGAATTAAAATGCATGTAAACTAATATTTCTAATTCAAGGACTATTCCTAAAATGAGCTATCACAGAACAGTGTGCATATGCACTAAGTTGATGGCTAATGCATTATGAAATGATGTTAGACTGGTTAGAAAATCAGAATGATTACTTAAAACTGTTAGAATGATGTAATGTAATATGCTGGAATGCTTAGAATTATGAAAAACTATGCCTAATTACAAAATCTCAAACTGTTTGATGAAATGCTTGATTGAACATTTTACCAAATAGTTTGTGAGAATGCTTCAATGAATTAAAAGAGCAGAAAATGAATATGCAACGAATGAAACAAGTCTAAAATGATGAATATGAATGAAAGATGCTATTTAATCACAAGAAATGCATGCAGAAAACAAAATTCACTAATTAGAACCTAGTTTGGCAGCAAACAACACACTGGTGCTTATATCAGTTTATCAAACGTAAATTATGTCGGCTGGACTGATTTAACCATGCAATGCAAGATGCAAACATATATATATGAATGAACATGATTTACAGATTAGTCAAACTAGTTTAAGCAAAAGAACTGCAGCATTAGAATTTCTAAATCAAAGCAAGCTAACAATAAAAAGGGAAACTGGTGTTTTTTTTTTTTACATTTCAGAAACAGTAATTGGGGATATAAACCAAACTGTATCTTACCAACAAGTTCAATTGATGCAAAAGAAAATAAAATGAATGTAGGAATGCAGAACTGAATGGAAAAAATCAAGTCAATACCCAAAATCCCAATACCGAATTTACCTACTTACCTAACTATGCTAACATGATGCAATGTATCAGAAAATGATTTAGAGGATTGGATTAGGAATCTAATCGTGCAGTAATTTAAAAAAGAAAGTAAAGTTCAGAACAAGTTCTTGACGACAGATTTAAAGCATGGAAAACAGAAACTAACGCTCAAGTTCTAAGGAAAACAAACTCGGATGAATCAGAATTAAAAGTCTCACTTCAATCTTGGTGTGCTACACCTTAGTTTTGCATTTCAAGAAGACATCTTAGTAATTAAAACTCCCATTGGAGTCTTTAGATCTAGGTTCTTGACCAGAAACCCGAAACTAAAATGTGCAAAACTAGAAATTCAGTGCATCAAGGTTGACATCAAGAAATTCAATACTAATACAACAACGATAGTGCAAGAAATTGATAAAGGATTGCAAGAAAATTAAAGAATTAATGCAAGAACGAAAAACAACTCAAGAACTGAGTAAAATCAGGCAGAAAAGTAAAAACAGTGCAAAGAACTGTAAATCACTGCAAGAACAGTAAAGAATGCAGGCAAAGTAAATTGGAATGAAGAAAAGATAGCAAACTTGTATTGATTTCAGAATAAAGTACAGTGGGTTATACTCCTTTCCCTTTGCACTCACAAGGATTGGAGCAAAACCGCTAAACCTAGACCGTACAGCAGATTACACTCCTTTCCCTTGAGGTTACTCTGCACTCACAAGGGTTGGAGGCTGCACTCTACCTTACAAGATGGAAATCTCCACAAATTTGCTAAAAAAGTAAAAGTGTCGTAACATGGGTCTAGCGGTGTTGTACTCCCTACACAGCTAAGTTGCTCTTAAATGGGAAAAGAAAATGAATCCAGCCTAATGCTAATTTACGAGACTAATTCAGGTTCAGCCTTCTAAGTGTAAGTCAGCTCCTCACATGGCCCAAATTGACTTGGCCTGCCCCTTCAGCTTGCTCCAGCCGCATCACCAGTCCAGAAAAGGTCAGCCAGCTCTTCACAGCAAGTGCAGTCTTGATCTTGTGGCCCAGCAGCAGCTCACGCTTCACTTGCTGTACAGATCCTACTCCCTGCACCAAAAAGTTGGGACTGAAATCATCATGAGATTAACTTCAAAAACTGAAATTTACACTTACAAAGACTAAAACAAGACTACCACAATCCTAATACTAAAAACGTATCGAAAAACACATAATTAGCACAAATTCATCAAAACAACTATTTACCATGAAAAGACAAATCTAATCTATCAAAAGCATATAAGAACTAAAAATGCAACATTACAATTTAAATCTCCAAGAAGAGAAAAAGATAAAAAATAAATGCAAATGAGATGAGATACTCACAAATAGCGTAACATAGTGAGCTCGGAGATGGAAGATGATATCAGCCCAGAAATTGTCATGAACAGTGCCGCTACACCAATGAACGCTAGTGCTCCTTTAGAGTTCTATTGGAATTCAGATAACTCACGGCATTCTAGTCAATTTTTTTTGGGAGTAATTGTTGGTTAAAAAAAAAATTCTTATAAACCGTTTTGCACAGTATGATAGATACTGGATCAAAATTCAGAATAGGAAGAAAGACAAATTTTTTATATATTGACTGAGTGTATCTCCACAAAAAAATTCCAAGGAAATACAAGAGATCCAGGCTTCAAGCCCTTAACTAACTGACTGACTAATCATAGAATTAGTAATGAATAACAACTCAAGCATCCCCATTCAAGCAAATTCATCTCGATCTCAAATATGTACCTTCCGTGGTTAATTTAATGGAATATTTACAATGATACTTCTATTGGGTATGAAATGTAGAACCAAACAAGTTAACCAAGTACAGGGTAATGTTCAGCTTCAAACAACCAGACAAGTACCACCACCAAGGGTTCAATCTAATACAAAGGACTTAAATTCCACGATGTAACAAACTAATATTCGTATCTGCGTTAATATAGACATCTATTGTCCACCACATCTAGTATCTGAAGTGTCTCGAACAAAATTACCTCTGATGGAGAATACCAGAGTTCAGCTACTTGTCTCATTTTCAGGATGGACGATGAATAATTTTTCTTTGTCAAACCCATCCGGCAAGAGTCGCCTCGCTTCTATCTCGCTACACAGAGCCAATGCCAACTGGTTTTTCCCACACCTGTGAAGTCCATGATACAGCTCAGATAACGTGCTGGAATCTGGCCTCATCAATCTACCCAGCATGTCCCTCAAAACCTGCACAGCCCCATCAAAGTCCTCATTCTTGCAAAAAGCAGATATCAGCATCTGAAAAGTATGCTCATTTGGATTACAACCACTCCTCACCATGCTCCTATAAATAAGAAAGGCACGCTCAGAATTGTTCCTCACACACTGTCCAGTAATAAGAGCAGAAAAAGTACTCGCATTTGGAACCAAGTTCTCTTTATCAAGCTCCTTTACAAACCCTGCAGCCTTCTTTGTCTTTCCATCCTTACACAGCCCCAAAATCAATGCATTATAAGTTAATATATCAGCCTTAACCCCATTCCTCACCATCTCCTCGTAAACTTTCCCACCCATTTCACTGTCTCCAACCTGACCATACCCATGCAACAAAGTATTGTAAGTTACAACATTCGGGGTCACATTGGCAACCTTCATCTCATTGAAAACCCTATTCGCCTCATGCAACTTCCTCTCCTTACAAAACCCATTAATCAGAGTGTTAAAAGTAACCACATTAGCCTGCACTCCATGACCCCCCATCAAAGATTTAACCTTTAACGCCAAGCCAAACAGCCCCTTGTTACAATACCCCGAAATCAAAGTATTGAAAGACACAACATTAGGACTCAAGCCCATGTCCCCCATCTTCTGGAAAATCTCAAAGCCCTTCTGCACTCCCCCCAACATACAATGAGCGCGAATAACCATGTTGAGAGTGTAGACGTTAGGCGAAACATAAGAGCGACGCATCTCCCGGTAAAACGACAGCGCGATATCTGCTCTGCGGAGGCGAAGCAGAGAACTTAAAAAGGCGTTGCAGGACTCAACGGTGAGGGAGAAGCCGTGTTGCTTCATCAGGGTATAAGTGAGGGTGGCGCTGCGGAATTTACTGGCATGGGCGAGGGTTTTGAAGAGGGCATCGAAGACGAGAGGGGAAGCATTGCAGATAGGGTAGGAGTGTAAGAGAGAGTCGAAGAGGGTGTGGGGAGGGTGTGAAGAAAGGATTTTTGTGAGGATGGTTTGGATGGTTTTGAATTGGCGATGTGTGGCGAGGGTGTGGAGGAGGAACGAGAGGGTTTCGAGGGTGTGCATGGATGGGTGGTGTTGGAGAAGCCATTGGGAAAGTTTGAGGGACAATACGTGGTCGTTTTGGAGGTTGAGGAAGAGGTGTTTGAGACGAAAGGGTGTGAGAACGGGGCACAAAGGATGTAGCTTTTCCCAGTGGGAGTTGACGACGTGACTGTGAGCGACGGTGATGAAGTCCAGATCCTGGCCTCGAGGTTCGGGAAGGGTTCGGTGAGGTATGGGAAGGAATGGCTTCGTTGTTGGGGTTCTATGGGTTGCTTCGGTTATCAGAGTGCAAAATCGACGAACTTCAATGTTTCGCATTGTTCAATGCTTCTTCTCTCTCATTTTCAGGTGGGACATGTTTTTCTTTCGGAATCGATTCATCAATTTACATATTTCTACTTTCGTTCTTCCTTCAGTGGGACCGCATAAGTTTAAATTAATATTATTTTTGACACATAGGCAGTGTTAACATACGGGATCCTAAATCAAACTGCCCTGACTAACCATAGTTTCTCCGAAAGTTGTTCTGTGCCGCCAGCGGAGTGAACTAGAAAACGTAAGAAAGCGGTTCGGAAATTGGAAGAGGAAGATGGCGACGGCGCCGGGAAACCAAATGCTGGAGGGGGGAGGAGCGCCGCCGCCTCCGGGGACTGATATGACCGGAATATGCTTCCGAGACCAGCTCTGGCTCAACAGCTTCCCTCTAGATCGCAACCTTGTCTTCGATTACTTCGCCCTTTCCCCTTTCTATGATTGGACTTGCAACAACGAGCAACTCCGTATGCGATCCGTTCACCCCCTCGACCTCTCTCAACTCTCGTATGTAAAACCCTAAATCCCTTCTCTTTCCTTCTTTTCGATACTCTTTTAGGTTTCGTGGAATGTAATAATCGAATAATAGTAGTTCTGCTGTTCAGGAAAATGACGGGGACGGAGTATATGCTCAGCGAAGTTATGGAGCCGCACCTCTTTGTTATTCGCAAGCAGAAGAGAGATAGCCCTGACAAAGTTACGCCTATGCTCGCCTACTACGTCCTCGACGGTTCCATATACCAGGCTCCGCAACTCTGCAATGTTTTTGCTGCCAGAATTGTGAGTTCTTTCTCTGTACTATAAGTTTTCTTACTGTTTTTAGGTTAGGGAGGATTCTTTTCTGTGAAAAACTTGCTTGCATGACATTAAGAAGAAATGCATGTTTGTGATCGTGTGTGCTGTAGAATGGAGGAGGATCATGTTGAAGGAAAGATTATGGTATTTATCAATATAAACTTAAGATATATTTTATTATTTTGTTGGGGTTTAAAATTTTTCTTTTCCGTTTTGTGCAGGGTATCTAATAAAGGTTTATCTTGGATCGTGTTATTACTTCACTAAAGTCATGATTTATCTAGGGTGTAGTTATTACCTTTGAGTTATGATTTCTCTTTAGGGGTGTTTTATGCTATTTAGACTTTTTGCATGATTGGTGATTTCTTTTTCTGAGAATATCTGAACATGAACCAAAGGAGCTCTCCACCTAAAGGAGTGTTTTAGATTTGTTTGTTAATGGAAGGAGTACTCTGGACAAGAGGAGTACTCGTGGTTGGATTGTGAAACTTAGAGAAAATCCTTTTCAGTCCTTAAACATAACGTTTTTGTTTTCTGTTCGAAGCTGTATTAGTTTTATCTGTTATTTAGTATTCAGGTTCGGTGTTTTGAACAGGAAGTACTACAGTTTTATACTTAAGGGCCTTATTGTACAATTTTTGTACAGTTTAGGAGTTTTTCTTTTCGTCAATTTTTTTTATTATTGGAGAGATTTGGTGTCTAATACTGGTTTTGTCATTGATCTTTCAGGGAAGGGCCCTTTATTACATAGAAAAGGCATTTACTACAGCTGCCTCCAAGTTGGAGAAGATTGGATATGGTAAGTGCAAACTATGGCTGTTTTCTTTTCTTTATCAGAGATTGTTGCTTACAGCAATGTTACAGAAGCTGGATAAAAACACCGTAGTGCTACACTTATATTCCTAGAATAAGCAATAATTGTGATATTACTATGGTATGCCATCGTTATTGTTTGATAAATTAAATGGAGTGAGACAACTCTGCTGCTCTCGCAATTTGAGATTATTCTTCCCTAGGACATCAATTTTTTTACTTTCGAAGACAATGACCTAGCTGATGTTCTGTCATTGTGTTAGACCTCTTATAATTAAGCTCTATAAGAGACAGTTATTGTAATAAGTCATTGCAGTTTTCTTAATTAGTTTGGCAGCTTTTAATGTTTTATTAAGGGCAAGCATAACTGCTTTTAGGCAGTTATGAGGACAGCAGAAATAGGGAGAGAGGAGGGTAAAAGGGGGATTTGGACTGGAGAGAACAATCTGAGAAGTGAGAGACCAAGTTCTTGGAAACTTGGAAGATGTCTACTGTCCTAAGTGTTGTTCTATTTCAATTTCTGTGTTCTGTGTAATCTGGTAATTAGAGACCAGTTCTTGTGATAGTAATACAGTAATAATTTCTTTACCAGTTGGTTTCTATCATATTGAAACAATATAATTTATAGATCATATTGATCTTTTTTAGTTATGCTATCAAGGACTAATGGCATTAATCTCGAAGCATCATTTTCATATATTTATAATTGGAGGACTAAGGAACTATTTTTCTTTTAAAAAAATCGGGATGCTTTTATGCCTTCCTTGCTGGTTTAGATATAGTTTCTGATAGTTTTACTCCTATTTCGAAAAGCAAACTTCCCGTCTTTCTTTCATTTTACGCCACAATTTTCCTGATTCCAAGGATTCTCTTTTGTACAGTCTTTTGGACGTTATCAGCACTTAAGAACTTTGTAAACTATTAACATAGCTTATGGAGGTGACCAACCTTGCAGTCTTGGCAGTTGCCAGATCTTTTGAATTTTTTGTCTTAATATACATTTCATCACTAAAGTTGTCTAATTCAGAAAGCATCCAAACCTGCATGCTCATTAAGGGTTGATTTAGGCTGACAAAGATTTGCTGACAATCCATGAGATTAAGGTTCTTTGGGTGGCTTGATTTGAGAATTAGGGTTGTTGTAAATTTGGGGATAAAGAGCTGAAGCGGGTAAACTTGAGAGAGAAACACTGAAATGCTTTAAACTTTGTTTAAACATGAGTTATGGTGCACTGAATTACAATGTGAAACCAGTTCTGTTTGTAGTAGAATCTGTTCCAAAGGTGCAATTCGGTCCTGTGTTTTTTATAATAGGTTCAGTTTTTCCTGGTATAATTCTGTTTGGTTCAATTAGTCAGTTTCTTTTACCACCCTTAGTATCATCTAAGCAACGATTAACATCAGTATCTCACTATTGCAACTTTAAAGCATCAGGAGATTCTGCCACTGTTATTTTACCATCTAATTTTTCATACCCATTTTTTCCCCTTACATATGTTCTGCCTGCTTGTAAGACATGTTTTGGGAGTTTAGTCATAGAACTGTTATATTTCATACTTCTGTACACATTAACTGAATTGTGATTCTTCTAGCTGGGTCTGTGGATTCTGAAAACGAGACTGCATTGGTGGAGTCAAAGACTGCTAAGGAGACGATTGACATAAAGGAAGTTAAGCGTGTAGATCATATTCTTGCATCCTTGCAACGCAAGGTAAGTTGAAAAAGTATCATCCCTTTCATTCATGGGTAACATCGTGATCATATTATTAAAGTCTTTTTTCTTGCATTTCACGGGGCCTGGAGAGAAGTGCCATTAATAGGGCTTTCCTAACTCTTCCCAAAAGGAAGAACATGAAATTCTTGCTTCCTTTCTGTTGCAATGAGATTGGATTTATTCATAAAAATAGAATACTTGCAGAACCTAAAACTAATCTACTTGTATTGTCATATAAGAGATCTGGTTCTTTTGTGGTGATGCACACATAGTTTAAACAAATAGTTGTGTATTGATTGATAAATTTGACATGCTAACAGTGTTGGAAATTTATCTCATCCTTTATTGCTGGTGACAAATGAGTGTACTAACATGCTGCCTGGTGCAGTTACCACCAGCTCCACCTCCACCACCCTTTCCAGAAGGGTATGTACCGCCTCCTACAGCTGAAGCTGAGAAAGGCACCGAAACTCAGGAAGCAGCAGAAACGCAAGCTCCTACTGCTGATCCCATAATTGATCAAGGACCATCAAAAAGAATGAAATTTTAACATTAAAGACATACTGTAATGGCTAGTTATACAGGTGGAGGAAAATTATATTGTTCCCAACATGCAGCCTTGCTGGAACTGTGATTAACTTGATGCTATTATTTTCTGGTCTCTACAGGCGATGCTCTTTTCCTGTCTTCGCCTTAAATGTAGATATATGATCACTGAAATAGGATCACACCCTTGTATTTTCATTCTAGACAATTTACTTAGCAATAGCAAATGGAAACGATTGGACATTTTCTATTTATTGCACATTGATGCAGGTCTTGCTTTCATCCTAGTTTTACCTGAACAATATTGCGTCCCTTGGGCATAGATTGAATTGTCTTAGATTCTCGATTATGTAGAAATTTAGTGAGCTCTGTGGAATTGCTCAATACAACCAATATTTTAGTACTTTTGTAAAATTTTCTTTTTTAACTTTTTTAAAATCCTGTTATATAAATTGATTTTTTTTAAAGAAGGTTTAAAATATTTTATTCATTTATTTTATTGCTATTATGAATACTTATAGGGGAGACTAAGGAGAAAGACCTTAGCTTGTTTCCAAAATATTAGAAATAGAATGGATGCAATAGGGTGATAGTGATTGGAAAGATATTCTTTAAGGAAAAGGGCTCGAATTCGGGAGTATATTGTTGAAGGAGTAAATTAAAAAAAAATGATGTAATATAAAATTATAAATTAAATAATTAGATTAATACAATTAATAATAATACGAGAAATTAAAATTTTAAAATATGATAAACTGAAAATGGTTTAACATAATTTAATACAATATTATATAATTTAATAGTATAATTATATTAGATTATATTAAATAATGTTACATAAATTAAAGAATTGTTATAAAATATTAAATATTTAATTATTGTTATTATTTTTGTTAAGACATATATATAATTGTAGTTATTTTTGTCAAGACATATATATAATGGTGATTTAAATAATTATGCTTTCATGTTACTTCTTTCAAAAAGTAAGTTGCTTTGATGCTTGATGATGGCACCCTATCATTTTCTTCCTACACCCTATCACTTATGAAATTTATTTTCTAGAACACATAAAGAATTTTGGAATATTTTGTTTTTAGAAAATCACTACTAATGTTGAAAAATCCAAATAGCTGTCCAATAAAGATAAAAGGTTAAGTCTGAAATAAACAAATGACAATAATAAAAATA